GTTTCGCCGGCATCGTAGTCGGCATCATCAGTGAGTTTTGCCATTCGCCGCAATAAGCTACGAACTCGTCAAAAGAGACAAGTGAATTCAGTCCCTTGACAAACATTCTGCCGAAAACGATTACACAATCATTCCTCTTTCTGTCCTGGCCTATCTATGCACTTTCTCTTTGACGAGTTCGTATCTTGGTGCGGAGAATGGCAAAGTTCACTGATGATGTCGACTACGATGCCGGCGAAACGTTTGAGAATGTATCAAGTCCACTGTCTGATGCTGGGACTCATGACAACTACTATGACAGACGACTTCGGACTAGGTGCGTTCTACTAAGTCGCCCTGACAGCAAGACCAATTTGCGACAACGAGGTCAGCCCACTTCGCTTGTTAGAGTCTATCCATAAATATTTGATAGATTTGGCTTACCCGCATGTACGTTTACTAACCTACTCCGGCATTTCCGTAAAAGATTGGAGGGCTATTTGACGACTAAACGTTTCGGAAAGTAAGGCGGAGCAAATTGGTAACCAAAGACCATGTTTTCTTGACGGGCAACCAATTGACTTAATTAAATATGATTTCACACACTTTAGCAACCAGCATTTATTTGATTGACTAACTGGATAAAATTATACTCAGGTAAGGCGCCTACACACTCTACTGCAATATCTAGGAGCTATAATCATTTTTATCATAGAATTTTCTCCTCATACCCGTTCACTTGCTCAGAAATGCATGCACACTAATGCCGGTACCAAGCGGATGCCAATTACTTTATATAATTGTATTTTCTAAACCAATGGATTCCACATAGATTTAGCGGAGTGACTAGGCAATGGTAGATGTTTGCGAGTAACTCTAATACTTCGTATGTCGTTCTACACACCAAAAACCATGAATCACTTTCCCGCTAGCTATAGTTATAGTATTTTGACGGGTCTTAGTCCGTCTATTATACCGATTTTACCCACTCCCTCATAGGCCAGAATTGTGGGCAACTCAGCATAGAAGGCGCTTTAGAACAGAGCTAGATACAAGCCACTCACTCGATGCCACGTTGACCTATTTTGGTCTTATACTTCCTAGGCTTGGGACACCAGACCTCGGCGCAAGTCATTTAACAAAAGAGCAATATACTATTTCAACGTGACTTTAAATTCAAGCCAATACCGTATTAATTTCAACTGGATTAATTTTACAGAAGTAGGCGCTTGATTTTCGCTATCTAGCGATCATCTTCTGAAATCGACAACTACAAATCTGAAAAAGTTTCTCAAGCATTTGTCTCAAGGGCTTTATAGGTTAAACTTTAAAGTGCAACACCATCGCTAGCACCAGTGACAATCAAGGAGAGCATAAGTGATGTTTAATATTTTCCAAAAAGGCAATGTCTTAGTTTCACCTTGGCCAGTGTTGATTTGCATGGTTTTTCACTCTGTAAATTGTCTAGCTGGTATAGAGGTGACTTCCGATGCATTTGACAAACTTATTGGACGCCCAAACCAATATACTCTGGTCATGTTTTATGCGCCTTGGTGTCCACATTGCCAGACAAGCAAACCAAAGTATTTGGAGGCAGCAAAACAGATTGAGAAGTTGGATTCAACGAAAAGTTTGGCGATGGTCGATTGCGACAACCAGAAAAACACAGGTGAGTATTTGCCAAAATAAAAGCCATTTTATCAATGTAAAATTGTACAAATAAGCATAGTATATATCCTTTTATATGTTCCAGCTTCATTGTATGAGGTTACATTTTGGCAATACTCCTAAAGGCTTTAGAATTTTCTTGCTGCGATATTGCATAACTCCCAAGGTTAGTATTAGATAGGTTAAGAACAAATCAGAAGTGTAAAGCTCTTTATCGATTAAGGTGAATTTTCTCATAATGATGCCACTCAATTTATTTAGCCTTGCTTCCACGAAGGTTTCACCCAGATCTAATCAGCACCCCTTACGAAATCTTTAATCGTATCGTGCGATTAAAGTGGCCTAGTGACAACAAGGGAGTTAGAACTATGAATCAAGGACAGACCTTCCCTAAATCAAATATTTTATGTCGATGAGGCAAAGTTGTATTCACGAAAAGTAACTGGGTTTCGATGGCTTTTCTGAGCTGATATTGTTGGGGAGAACTTCGTTTCGTATGAAAGTGCATGAAGAAGAGAGTCGTAGGTTGATCTAATCAGAAGACGACGGCTAAATCTCGTTGTACTGCAGACGTTTGGCTTTACTACGATGTAATTTTAGTGGTATTTCTCTCTTGATATTGTTAGAATTTATTTTATAGTATCAGTTAGTGAAGGAAATATGTTTATCTAGAATAAGAACTTACTCATAATCGGTAATTAATTAATATGTCCATAAAATGTATATGTTACCATGCAGCAATTTACCTTAGCTTATAAAAATACTGCATAAAAAAAGTTATCAATGCATTTTAATTTTGCTGTCCTTATTTTCCTCATATTATTCTTTAAAAATTAAATTTTATGAACAGAAACTCTCGTTCCAATTTTTGCTTGATAGCCAAATTAAAGTGCGGCTGGAGAGATAGTATTACAAAGCTATTTTTAATGCACTGTGTGTAAGCGGAAATAAGTTTATTTAATATTCATCAGGAAAAAATTGCTTTTATTGCTCGAAGTTTTTCTCCCAACAAGGTATAGTGCCTGAGGAGTGTCTACCTATCATAGTGTATGCAATTATGTAAACTCTAAATCTTTACTATATTTAGGAACTAACAACAATTTACTTTTGATGAAACTTCCACATGTACATTTCTTATACATTTCATAAAGCGTTATTTGATTACTTAGCAGAATAAATTAAATTATTTCTACGTACTTTAAGTTTCATTGTAGGCGTACAACCTACATGATATACTGTGCTAGTTGTAAACATTTATTGTCATAATTCGTCGTGTTTATTGATATCTAGAGTTATTACCTACGATGTGCCGTACAAAAAAGTTCTTTTCCTGAACGAAATATATTTTCTATTTTAATAGAGCAGTCATTAGTAAAACATAAGTATGCTGTGTTCTTGTTGACTCGTCGAAATTTAATTCTGAAAGATCTATGATCCTATGTAGGAAAAAATCGCTTAACAGGGGCTGGTAGTAACGAATTTTGGGATGGGAAAGCGTTTTTTCAAGATAAAACTTTTACAATTTTAAACCTAGATTTGACTGGTAGAAAAAATGTGTGCTGAATTAACTTCTGATAAATTAGTTATTTACCGGTCGATTCAATCCTATTAAATTTGTATAATGATTTTTCATCAAAATGCATAAAAAACATGTTTTTCAAATATTTGTGGGCCAAAGAGTTCTTTGTGTTTTGCCTTAACAACCTTTACTTAATACGTGAATTTCCGATGTTGAATATTCCCTATAGGAGTTGCAACCATCATATGTCGTTTCAAAAACGAAAACTTTTTATTATTTTGAGTTGACTAATCAAAATATGGACTTTATCTGAGAAGTATATGCTTCAGATATCATTCCTTTAATTAAAAATTTAAAGGTGGTAAGTGATAAAAGCGGGTCTTACAATCTTCATTTTTCCATTTATTTGAAATAGCTATAAATGGTGAGAATATTCAAGTATATTTTCTGTATAAAGCAATTCTCTAAATTTTAGATTAAAAATTTTATTTATGAATAATATTGACTGAATATGGCTCCATTTAACCAAAAAATATTAGTTTTTTATTTTATTTTATATTTTACTTAATAAATACCAAAGTACACTACGAGTTGTTCTCATATTTTTTTGTTAATCATAATTGTATTTTATCACGGAGGTGCTTTAAATTTGATAATTTAATTGCACATAAAAATTCGCCCAATCATTCATCAATGTTACGCCAAAATATAGCTTAATTTATTATTCCATTTAGAGCTCTGCCAGGCGCATTCAATCGAGAGTTATCCAACAATTAAATTGTACTTTGAAGGCAAACTTGTGCAGGAATATGAAAATGAAGTTAACGAAAAAAAAATTACAGATTTTATGAAAACGCCCCCTAAACCTGATGGCCAACCTACTTTAGCAGCTATCGACATCAACTCTAAAGTAAGCATACATTAGTTCGAAATATAAAAGCAAATATATTTATACTCAAAAAGGGCTATAGTTAAAAACAATGCCATTTATATTTTCATAGTACTTTTTAATTTAGCTTGAATGTTATGATCTTCAGTATGAGGAAGGGATTACAATAATTGGGATAGATAAACCATACTTATAAATATACTAGTGATTAAAATTGTTTAAATAACCCAGGGTTATCTAGTTCAGTCTCATCAAAATGCCTCGCAAATTTAAATTGTGAATGCGGTGGATAAAGGCAAATGTAGTCCTTAAGTCTGAAAGCAAAGATATCTGCTTATATCGCTTCATATATGGCCAGATATATTTATATATCTATATACTTCAATTGGACTCTTAACTAATTTTTAAGAGAAAGATATAATTTCACTATAGGGTGTTATCTTTGTCTATGCTGGCTTTATGTAGTGGATGATACTTTAAAGATGGAGTAACTGTAAATGACCAACCTTAAGAACTATAAAGATCATTGTGTTCTCTGTGAACTAACTAGATTTCTTGTAGAAATATTGCCAAGACGGAATGTCATGTTTAAAAATAGTAGAAATCTTAATATTTTACTTATCGACAGGTTATAGCTATTTAACATGGGAAAATTATGTAAGCCACCAGTTAACTTATTTACATAATTAAATTATTTTCTTTATTTAGGTAACTTCACCTAGTAAATGATAATTAATGACCCTACGTTTTAAATTCTTAGAAAATTAACGATGTTTGGAGACATTTGGGAAAAGAGTTTGGAAAATATTGTATTATTGCCAAAAATATGTATA